GTCAAGGTAAACTATATATAAATCCACAATTAATTGTCATTATGTCTAATAGGTTAGACAAATGAGAAATTTTACAATTTCTATCACTTTTTTTACAAGATGATATTTTAAAGCATCATTTAATAATCATTTCATTTGAATTTGAATTTTTTTTTTAACAAATGACAGATTTGTACAGTGTACATTCCTTTTTCTTTTTTTTTTTTCTTTTTTCTTTTTCTCATTTACAATGACATTCCATTCTTTTTTCTTTTACACATTTTTTTTTTCAACGGCATCTCCTTAGTGTACATATTGTGTAGAAAACATTTACATTCAAAAAAAAAAAAATGATTCTATATAGTTTGAGTTTGTAATCCATTTTCTTGTCCATTCCATTTTTTCGGATCACCTAGTTCTTCTCCAGTCCATTGCCGCATTCTTTCTGAGGCTTGTTCTACCTGTAATTTCATTTCAATTAAGTGTTTTATTTTACCACAAAGTATCGATTATAAATTCATAACCATATTAATTTGCGAGATGTTTAATTAAATTTGATGGTAGGAAAAAACATTAATACTTTACCTCTTTGTTCCAATTGGTATTGTAAACGATGTACAAGAGGATCAGTGTCTGCAATAATGTCCCAAATATCATACCAATCCAAATTCCCTACAAAAACAACGCTCGTTATTTTCATCAAGAAAGAAAAATGTGTTTCAGCATGTCAATTAATCATAGTTTTTTATTGTTACATTATGCTAATCATTAGTTGAAAGGTTTGAACTATTAAGTTTCTTAAACTTTTGTTAGCGACAACTTTGGTTACCTCCACTCTCAAACTTGTACGGTAACCCAAAAGAAACCCTAGAGGTAGCCCAACAATATAATAACAAAACAAATTTATGTAAGCCACCAAAGCTTGCCAACCTCCTCCAACAGCAACACCTGTGAAATTTGTATTGTTATAACCTCAAGGGTTTCGATGATTTGATAATATCGTAGTCTTATATTAAACTGTCTGACAAGAGAAAATTAAGTTTACCAGATATAACTGGCTGAACACTATTGAGGAGCATTGTAACACTGAGTAGAAAGGCTAAACGAGAGACGGCTTGTTGCATCTCTTTGCTTTCAGTAAAGATGATGGCAAAATGATCCTTGGCTGCCAAGATAACCAGTGCAAAAATCATCCCAATGAGGAGAGACTCAAGGATGGTGATAATGACCGAGTATTTAGCAGCTCTAGGATGTGCTGATCCAAGCTCATTGGAGACTCGAACGCTGCAAGGAAGTAAAATTGGAGGAGGTGTACTCCAAGGAGCTAATAAGAAAGACTAATCCTCAAAACAATGGAATTGGATCCCATCCGGATCCACTTTTTGGGGATCCTTGCCCTCACATCTTAAGCATTCATTTTGTATCGTGTGGTCAAAAATCATTTAATTTTTTTAATTTAAAATTAAACACAAATAGTATCTTATGAAAATTAACCACACGATATACGATGAACGGATCCTCACAAAATGGTTGATGTGTTATTTATAGTTTAACCACACATAATTATAACTATCACGTCACTAGGTCAGCTAATGGAGTACTTACGGTTTTTAATACGAAAATAAGAATTAGCAGTAAAAAGTGAAGGTTCCTTACCTTATTGCTGCATTGATCCCAATAAACAACATGCCTTCCCATCCATTCACATTCATGCTGAAACAGAAAATCAAACACAAATCAGAATAAAATGATTTCGTATCAATTAATACCGAAACCTAATGTACATATTATTGTGGAGGGAGGAACATTGTAGTCAATTTTTACGGTAAAAGAACAAAGGGTTTTGTTACCAGATTGAAAGGGAGCCAACTGCAATAACAGGATTGTCAAGGTGTCCAGTGAGAACAATTATGGTCATGAAATACCAAATCTCCAAGCAAAGCATGACAGCTGAAGCAATAGAAAGTTTTGCAAAAGACCACAATTCCTTGAAGGCCAGCCATGACAACCCCTTCCAGCCGTCAGTACACCAACCGACTATATAGACCACCTGAGCCAATGCCATCCCCCAGGCTGAGATATCGAACGCTGCAGCTGCACCGCCGGTTCCCCACCCGAAAACTTTTATGAAGAGAAAGAGGATTCCTATGTGTGCTATCAGAGAGATGAAACCAATCCATGCAAGAACTCCAACCTTGCTCTGTGCCTGCAAGAACTTCTGAGTTGGGAAGTTGATGGCAAGGGAAAACATTTGAGGGATGGTTTGGATGGAGAATTTCCCGGCCAGGTCTGCAATGTCATCCTCTTGGCCTAGGAGTTTTAGGACTGGCGCGGAGTAGATGTAAAGTGGTAGTATAGCAATGCAGGCAGCGAAAAGGATTATCCACGAGCGCTGCATGTACACCCCTAGCATGTCTACTTGCCCAGCACCAAATGCCTGCCCACATAGTGTTTCAAGTGCACTTGCCATACCAAGCTGCAAGTTCAACCACATTGATTGTTTAGTTTTAGCCATTGAATTATAGTGTATGTGTGTGTATACATACACACACACACACACGCATATATATATATATATATGTATGTATTTAGCGATGTTCTGATGCAATCTAACTGACGGGGAGGAGAATTTGAACTTAGGTATAGCGGGTGACACAATGCCTACCCAACCAGACTATGCTCAGGTCTGAAAAAACTAGTATATCTGATTCACCTTGTAGTTATCAAATAAATACTTCTCATGAAAACCCTAAAACTCTAAATATCTACCTTCTTAAACCATGAAAATCCTTTAGATTATTTCGTTGCGAATCATGTACGTACTTGACACGCATTCAGATCGCTAAATCTTGAAGTGCAAGTATTATAAGACTGTTTGTATGCATAACACTACTTAATCATCGTGAATGGATACGAATGCACAACAAAATAGGAACATTGAGTATGAAAATTCTTTGGGAAATTGCAATGCAAGGAGAAGAAGCTAACCAGGAAGCCGAACGAAAAATTGGAAATGACAGAGAGAGAAATTGCAACGGCAGAGAGCTCCACATTTCCTATATGCCCAACAAAGATGTTTGTGAAGGAGTTGACACCGTAGTTGCACAATATGTTAAAGGCAATTGGCCCTGCAATTGACCAAAGCTTTGTGGTCTCTACAAAACATATGCTCTTGGCATCCTGGAAGGTGTGAATTACCGGATAATCTCCATCACTGGACCCAATGAACGCGGGAGGAGCATGGTGGAGGTCTGCAGGTTCAAGGGATGAGCCTGCGTCATCCACTCCATCAATCATCAATGTTGGACTTTGTAGCACTGCTGAAGATGATCCAGCAGAGGCCTCCACCTTAACTGGTACATTTTCTTCCGGGGTACCTATTTTCGCAAACTTTTAAATCAACCCTTTGAATCTTTTTTTTTTTTCGCTTCACCTTCGGAAGCTTGGGATTAAAGAAAACTCAGGAGATTCTGACCTCTTCGTGTTTCTTTTTGTTTTATTTAATTTTGATTTTTTTGTTCTGGCGAAGTAATCTTAAGAACGCTGCTAATATAGCTATAATTTAGGCACACCATACAAAGATATCAGCCTCACAGAAAAAAGATGACCGAGTCTTAGTTTGTAGTGCAGTTTTCAGTTATTATTTCTTTGCAGAATTTTAGTTGTAATTGCCTTGAACCGTTTGGGTACAACAACTCAAGTCACTTACCATATAAACTTTGTACCAATATACAAAATATTAAATCAAGGACAAAGATAGTGCAGTTGACATTTTACCATAGTGGTGAAAAACAAAAATGTTTATGCATTATGATGTGGGTTCCATTCCTACTAAATGTTGTTGTTTGTAAAACTCGTCTATGCTCCCTGATACAAATAATTTATGACCCAATAGATTCTGAATTGAGAGACTGTCTGTGGGAATGATCTTTTAATAATGACCCAAAATCTGTTTGGTTTAAATTATGAAAAATATTATGAGATGTATCTGTAGGCATTGAAATTTTGGAAATTTCGTGTTTACAGAAACATACCAAAGGTTAGTGCCATCTATGCAAAACCTTTTAACATGTTTGGGAAGATTTTTTGTTTGTTTTTTCATTTAATGACAGTTATGACAATTCCAGAGTTGCCATAGAATCTAGTTAGCAAGATCTTTCTCTTGTTTTTCTGTTTTTTATATTTTTTTTTTAGAGGACAGATTAGTAATTAAGAAATTGGCAAAAATGGGTGGGATGAGCACAATGGAAGGTGATAACAGCACTCATTATTATTATTCTTCTTATTAACTACATATTACATCAAATCTCGATTAAACTAATCAAAATCAAATGTTAACTAAATCAATTAATTAAATAGAGATAACACGATGGTGGCGAGGAGGCTGAAATGCCTCTTTGAATCTTCTCGGCCTCCAAAATGATGGACTGCCCGTTGGTCCTTAAAAAAAAAAAAAATATCAATCATATATTGACAATATATTGAAAGTTAATTATATATATATATGTATGTATAAATGAATAAATAAATGAGGATTAAAAAAACTGAGACGGGATGATTAGTAAGAAAAGAGATCATCTCCGGATCTCTTCCACCAAAACCACCCAATCAAATGATCCGGGCTTTTGAAATTTGATCCAACAGTTAAAGTTATTATAACTTTTAAAGGAAACCTTGTTTTTAACTGTTGGATCAAATTTCAAGGGTCTGAATTACTTGATTTGATAACTTTAGTGGAAGAGATTAGGAAATGATCTCTTTTCGATTAGTAAATCCACTATGCTTTTTCAAAATTTAATCAAAAAATAATAAAACAAAATAAAAGTTAATTGTCGCACACGCATGTGGAAAGAAATAGTTTTAATAATTACAATTGGTAAATGATAATGAAGTATTAGAAAAGAATTCCATGACCTTTATGGAAAGGAAAAGGCATCATCATTTGCAAAAAGGTGAAGGTAAAGCGACATGACGGGGGAATATCTCCCTGCATACCCACCTACCTACCTGGCCAGAGGGAATGTCAAAAATGAAATCACTGAAATTTGAGACCTACAAATATACTTGTCTTTCATGTCGATATAATGTCCCACAAAGCATCCAATGACAGTTCTCCTCCTCTGCCCACAAATTCTGACACTGCCTATATGCCTATGTAATATGTATACAGAAACATATTCACAAAACAATATCTCCCAAACCATTCACCAAGAAATACAAACAGGAAGATTACATGAACGGAAAACTCCGCTTCGGCTGATGGAAGTAAAGTGCCTTCTACTCGTTTCAATAAACCGCTTCCTGGATGCAATAGGACAAGTCTTATTCTCTTGGCAGCACATTCTCCCCTTTCCCATTGAACTCTTAGAAGTGAAATCTTGTGCAGTCAACTCATAGGCTCCGGTTGGGAGTATTTGATTGTCAGTATCCACTGTACTTGTAGCTGCTGTACTTGCTTTTGAGCAAAGGAAGAGGGAAAGATTGTACCTGTGCCAAATCCAGTCACTTTCACTGGTCTCGAGTACCCAGCTATAATCCCTGCGATGGCTAATGCAGTTGAACCTGCAAGTACAAAACCCCAGTGAATCTTTCAAAAATTGTCTTAAATACGACCCTGGATCCATACCCTAACAGCATTCCTAAAAGGCAGAGCATATTAACAAAAGAAGCATGAAACATGGTGACAGATATCAATTTTAAAAATTGAGGGATAAAAAACATACCATCTTTAATGTTGTCCTTGTCAGTCCGATGGCGGAGCCTGGGATGTTTATTTTCTTTTTCTGAGGGAAAGATGAAGAAGCTCGCAAAGACTATTGTAGAAGTAGAAAGGCAAGTATCGGCAGCTTGCTTGTGCAGCCTCTTTGAGGCAATTTAACCAACAGTTTGGTTCATTGTGAAGGGCAACTAGAACTGCCATAGCAGAAAATCCATCAATAATCTTTCAATAATAATTCAAGTTGAAATCAAGTGACGATAAAATACGAATGGGCAACTGAAAATCTAAATTCATCTAAACTAAAAACAAGAACCATGCAATAGTCAAAGAGATTGCTTTACCAGCTCTACTTGATTAATCTGGCACAATCTGACGAACTCATGTTAAGTAATAGTTGAGGAACAATGTTGAGTGTGCAAACAGCAGATTAACCAGAGACATATGACCAAAGCATGTTAAGTAATAGTCAATAAACAATTTTGTCGTAGTGAATGAGAGAGCAGTGTATTTGGGATTCTTAATCGTGGCATACTTGGCAGTCCTGACTCTCCTTAGCTATCTTTCAAGTCAAAACTTTTGTGGAATACTTTTGACGTGCATATTGATCAGAAATGCAATAATACGGAACAGAAAGCATCAGACAGAGCATATAGGCAACGAGGTATGCATGTCGATGGAGACTACAGAGTAATATTTATCTATATACACTTCAGTTAAATCAATTTATCTAAACCTAGGTGACTTATATGTACCTGAATTCATATGAGCAGTGTTGCCATCTGGCAGTTAGGGGCTCCTACCTTTGAAGAAAATCAATGGCAACGTATGCTATAGACACTGAAGAGAACCATGGCAGCATTCCAGCTAGAACAAGGCTAGGCACCAAAACCAGTAAGGTATTGCATAATTAACCATTAGCTATATGAGTCTGCATTTAAAACAGAATTGACATTTTAAACAAATCACTCATAACATGATAATCGACATAAAAAGAAAATACCGAAGGAACCTTACTTGTGACTCAACCAAGCCCAAATAAACGCTAAAGCTAAGGACTATTCAAACCATATATTTATAAATCCAACAACACTTCAAAAAACATTTGATATTTGGCCACAATCCATCACTATTACATTTACACCAGATTCTCCTTCCCAAACCATATATGAAGCGAATGAATCAATCAAATGCTTAAATGGGTTACTAAGAAAAAAAAAATACCCATTGTGAAGAAGGGCAGAAAACACAACTGGCTTGCAATGCTGTTAGCCTTGGTCAGTAAAGCCCACTGAACTTCTTTGGTTATCATCCACAATCTCAGTCACTAGGGAAGAGCCATTACCAATAGACGATTCTGAACAACCACTAGATAATCTTGTATTGTAACCGGAGAAGTCGCTGCCATTAGATAACCCAATTCCAGAATCAGCCTTTACCCCGCAAAAAGACTCCCCCGAAACCAGTGCTTGCAACAATTTGGGTGCTGGAGGAACAGTCACTTCCACCAGCCCTTCCAACATTTTCACTACCATCCCCATTGTAGGCCGCATTGCCTCTGCATCCTGTATGCACCACACTGCCACCATTGCAACACGCTTTGCCTCCTCAATATTATATGTGCATCCAAGCCTATCGTCAATAACTTCCCTTACATTGCCCTCAATTATTTTCTGTGCCGCCCGCGGAGGAAAGAACAAACTGTCAGTTGTTTCACTTGCACCCTCTCTTCCATCTACAGATTGGCGCACCTCCACATTTCTGCGGCCTGCAAGTAATTCTATTAGTGTCATTCCATAGCTGTATACATCAGCTTTCGTGGTGATTGCCACACCAGATATCCACTCTGGCGCCATATAACCCCTGGTGCCCCTCATTGTGGCTAATACCCGACTAAAGTCCCGTACAACTAGCTTTGCCAACCCAAAATCTGACACCTTTGCAGTGCAAGAACTATCAAGCAAAATGTTTTCTGGTTTGATATCACAATGGATTATGCACTCTCTACACTCCTCATGTAAATATGCAATGCCTCTTGCCATACCAACTGCTATCCGAAATCTAACATCCCAACTCAAATTTGGACCATCTTGACGTAGGTACACACTAAGAGCACCATTTGGCATGTAATCATAAACCAAAAGTCTATGGGAATTTTCTGAGCAGAAGCCTCTAAGTCTGACAAGATTGACATGTTGAATGTTCCCAATCGTGCAAACTTCCGCTTGGAATTCTTTCTGTCCACCACCTGGCCTGTCTAAGCGCTTCACTGCAACAATAGTAGAATCTGATAACTCCCCGTGGAAAACAGCTCCAAATCCACCATGCCCAAGTTTGTCTGAAAAACCCCGTGTTGCAGTGTCAAGTTCTTTATAAGAAAATACCTTCAAATTAAAGGTTGACATAAGCTGAACCTTTTCTTTTTCTCTCTTCTTCTTCTTCTTCTCTCGTACCTTAATAAAAATCACCACCACCGCCGCTACAAAGCCCAAAATTACAATTGACCCAGCAATGCTAGCACTCAAAACAACACGATTTAGCACCTTCTTCTCCAATCTTGTCGCACTTTTTTGCACCCGTAAATAGAAATCATAAGCAAATCCACTTTCGGAGCTCAAATTTTGCAAATTCGAGAGAGACCCATAATACACTCTACACACGCCAGTAATGTTATCGTAGTCCACACCTATGCAAGTACATGAAAGCAAGCATGTGTGCTGACAATCGTCAAAGTTAATTCTATAAGGCTTACTATAACCTCCAACATATCTCACAACACCAACCTTGTCAAACCTATCATCCCTCTGACCACAAGCCACTCCCTCATTAAACACCCGGCGGCAACCCCCCGAGTAGTCCCCTAAGTTCCAACTAGACTCATCCACCGGCTGAAAACCGGAGTCACACTCACATGGCCTAGGTGTTTCACCATTGCAAACCCCAAAAGGCCCACACACACCAAACACTCTGCACTTTTTCTCAGGCTGAAACCAAAACGTGTTCCAGGTCTGGGTTGCCCAAGTGAACTGCCTGAGCTGACCCGATGGGTCCATCTGGAACCGGGTCAGAGGTAGGTCCAACCGGCCATCCAGCGGCGACTCAGTGAACCCGAACGACGCCGTTGGCGTGAATGGGTCGATAAAATGGAACTTATATATGTAAGGCACCGTCATTTGAGGCACATTAGCGAAGGCATTACCGGTCCAATTCCCAGTTGTCCAATAAGTTGCAGTACCATTAAAAACGAGCTCAAACTCACCGTACTCCGGCGGTCTCAGCCGCAAAGAATACAAACCCGGCGCAGGGTCTTTGTAGCTCCGCCAACACGTAAGCCCTCGCTCACTCGTCAGATTCATCCCCGGAAGCCACGTGTCAGTCGGGTAATCGAAGCTCTGCCACGCGACGGTGCCTCCCTGGGTAAGCAAAACCAGATTGCCATTCTCCAAAAGCTTGACGCTAACGCCGATCCCCGCGTTCGTGCTCGACCACACGATTGAGTTACCGGATTCTTTGACCACCAACCGACCCGACCCGGTGATTTCCAAGCTCGAGGAGGTGAGATTATTGACGGGTCGGTCCCGGTTCGCGACCCAGACGTTAGTCGGGACCGGAATCAGAGCATACCAAATGCCCAAGTACCATTTGGGACTTTCGTCGTTGGTGGAGAAGAAGCCGAGTGCAAAGGTCCGGTTGGGGCTCGAGAGCGTCGCGTTCCCAAAGATTACAACTTCGCTGTTCCTCGCCATTGGGTACTGTAAATTCGGGAGCTTCGCCGTCGCCGTCGCCGTCGGGTACGGGAGACCCGTTTGTGCTGCGCGTGGGGGAGTCAGGAAAGTCGGGGAGTTTGGCTCTGGTGTAGAACTGGGATTCGATTCGGGGTGACAATTCGTCAATGGGGATGGCGTTTGTGGGTTTTAGAAGAAGGGCTTGGAGTAGAAGAAGCAGAAGAGAAATGGGCAGCATGGAAGAAGCCATGGCGGGTGGCGGCGACGGCGGCCGTGGTGAAATTTCATTCATTTTGTTTCAGTGTTGGAAGTGTTTGGTTTCCGGGAAAACATTATCCGGGAAAAATGGCAATGGTGCTGTTGATGGCTGAAGCCTCAGTTCACTGAAATAGCACCGACTTCTTTTTGGTCAGAGAGAGGGAGGGGGAGAGATTATGGAAATCTGTAAAAGCTGCCAAGGCACAAGGGAAAAAGGTCTGACAAAAAATATATTTAAATAAATAAATATATTTTTTAAATAAACCTGAGATTCCACTTCAATGCTACGAGGATAAATGGAAGGGCTTCACGAAACGACAAAAGAAATAAGGATAAAGCTGGTATGTAAATTTGATTTAAATTTTCGAGTTTTAGCCAAATATTTTAGGTGTTGTTCATTTTTAACGTTAAAGATATTTTTGTTTTAAAAAATTATTTTTAATATTATTCATTTACAACATTTTTTTATTATTTTAGTTAAAACTCAAAGTTTTAAAGATATTTTTATTAGTTTTCTTTTAAAATTTTAGTCTTCTCATACAACTCTAAAAATAATAATTTAAACTAATTCCAGTCATTTAGTAATCGTAGAATGAAGTCACTTAGTATTAAGGTCTAGTAGTGACACACCCCAACCGAGGCCAGGGCATGCTGGCCGTCACGTGGAAGTGACGTAGCCATGTGCACAGTGCGGAAGCTAAAGGAATTAATATAAAAGTACGAATAATTTAAAAACTAGCAAATATAATGTGATAAAGTATGTGCTAGCGTAAGTAAGTCGCTGAATTCAGAGCCTAAAGCCTACAGCAGTCCAAAAAATGATACAATAATAGTGCACCCGAAGGTGACCCTACATAGTTGGGTGTCTGTCAGAAATGCCGGGACGTCCTCTGGGAAAAACCACCAAACCCGCTAAGCTACTAGAACCTGGAGGGGCGCAAAACAAAAGCATGAGTGGGCAAAAACAAATTCTTTGAAAACCATTTCATAAAATACATTTTAACCCCTCGCCGTAAAACCTGTATACTTCCCAGAAAAATAAACATATATACGTAGGTATAAATATGCCAAGTATGCTCAAGGGTATGCCAACATGCTCAAAGGTATGCCGTCATAATAATATGCAAGTGCTCAGGTGTAAATCACATCAATAGCATAACAACTGGCAGCCGGAGTCCCCTAAGTGACCTGTACGGCTGAATCTAGAACTCAAATCTCAATCTCAATCACTAAACCTGCCCACGAGTCGGAACCACCTATAGTGGTCTGTACGACAAGACTGGGTGTAATACATATAAAAGCTCTAGTGCTACGATCACGTGAAGGCTGTGCGAATAATCGCGGGTCACCTACGAGTCAAAACCACCTATAGTGGTCTGTACGACAGGACTGTGCACCTAACTTAGATTCAAGCTGAACGTGTGGTGCGGGAGGTGAACAACACGTGAAGGACTGTGCCCTACTCTGGGCGGGAGCACTAACACCGGGGTGCAGGTTATGAGCTCTCTAAGCACCTCTAACCACTATTTAATGCAATTGCTAAATAACATTTACCTGGCACTTACCTGCGTCTTCACAGCACCAAATATAATTATGCATATGTATGCCACTACTAATGCATATGATAATGCGTAAACAATAAGGATATGGTGCATGGCATAAACAAATAACCCTTTTTAAACAATTTATGGGAATATAAATGTATATAGGTATATACGGAAAACCAAAAGCCTACTCACTGGTATGTGGAAGGGTCGTAGCCCCCCTGCCTCGAATGTGCACGCTCATCCTCGGAATACGTGTCACCTATATGCGAATTAACTATAAAAACGTTAACTTTAAAGCACATAACCTTCCGTTCAAAATAACTTCTCATACATTGCTCAAAATGGATAAATGAATATATCAACGTGATCTACACAACCTCAGGATCACACCCATATTTTTAAAATAATTTTTGGACTTCCCACGCGCCCTCACGCGCCAAAATAGGCAAGGACCCACGCGCCCCCATGCGCGGTCACGTGCCATGCACACTGACGATGTTAATAGACGCCGTCAGGAATATTCCGTTAAACTGACGGAATATTCCGTTAAACCTAACTGACGCCGTCACTGCCGTTAGGAATATTCCGTTAAACCTAACGGAATATTCTCCTTTCTTCTCCGATCTACCCTCGCCGGACTCCGGCCACCGGAAAACTGGGAAAGTTTAAAACTCACTATTCTCCGTCGTTTTTCATCCATTTTTCACGTATTTTATACCAAAATGAAGCCCTAAACCTCATCTACCACGTTGGACTAGTTTTAGAGCCTAAAAACAACGAAATCAAACTTTCTAAAAATATGAAAATCCGGCCAAACTTACAGTTCGTGATTTCGACGTCCAAATCCGTCCAACGATGCACTCCCAAGCTCCTTGGGACCTCACCAACACATCTACAAGCTTCAAATGCCCAAAAACTAAGTAAATTAATGTTGCATGAACAGTACTCAAATCGGAGTTTAAGAAATCGACGTGAAAACGTCGATGTTCTTACCTGAAAATGGTACCACTGGACTCCTCACAGCCTCACAAACTTGATGGTGTACTTGGTTCCCTCGATCTGTCCAGGTTTGAGGGGGTTGTGTGAGTGTCCGTACGTTTTTTTGTTTGAAGAAGAAGAGGAATAGAGGACTCGGGGGAGAGAGAGAGAAAATGACAGAGGGTGAGGGATAGGGACAGGGTGTGTGTGTGTGTGTGGTCCAACTCTGGCCAACACCACACAAAACAGCCAAAAACATAACAAAAACAAACCAGGGGTAACATGGTAATTTCACACGTACATTTTCGATAATTCCGGGACGGGATGTCACAAGTAGTATTCTTCTTCATTTGCGAGTGAGAGATCTTAGGTTCGACTCTCATTAAAGACGAATTTGAACCACATTATTTTTAGCTCATTGTGAGGCTAAGCCTGCACTCTCTCTCTTAACCTACCTCCTCTCTCTTAGTGTAGATAATATCTTTTGTAGATTATTATCTTTTGTTAAAAAAAAGAATGATGGTAGAATGAAATAATTTTTCTCAAAAAGGGTCAAGACGTGTACGTGAAATTACCGAAATACCTTATTGTTCTTGCTCTTTTACATTGAGTGTGTTTATTTATGTAAAGGGAATTAAAGGTAATTTTCTTTATTTTGTTACACACAAAAAAAAAAAGGTTAATTATGCTTTGAATTCTTACTCCTAATTTAGGATGAGGATATGAGTTGCATATGTGAGACAATGAGAGGAGTAAATTATGGCTAATATAGATTCATTATTTCTTTAATGGGATATGATTTACAGGTTTTTTTAAGCACATAACGTTTGTCCAAGAAAAAAGGTAAAGAGAAATTGTGTACAAAAAAGAGAGATATTATTGCCTTTTTAATCCTCGGTTGATTAGTCAGAAAATTTTGAAAATGTATTATGTAACTCAATTGAAATTTGATTACATGCTTACTAATTACTTATTTAGAATGAAAATTATAATTGTCTAATTCTCGATTTCTCATGTGTTTACTAATATATAAAAATTAATAAAACCTGAGAGTGATTATGTTTGTTCCATAAGACACAAGAGTCTGATTCAACATGTAATTAACAGGCATCGCAATAATCACACTCCCAAAAAATACATTACCTACTCCTATATATTCTTGAAATTCTCCTTACTATCTTATATTGGTAGGAAAATAAATATAAGTCGAAGTAGCTTTCACGAAAGGGACAAGAAAACCACCCTCGTAGTGGAGGGTATTTTGGTAAAATAATTGGTCAGAAAAGGTAATGGTGGGGGACAAATGTTCTCTTAAGTCCACTCACGCGGGAGGTCATCTCTTTTTCAAGTTTCAAAGTTTCAACAGACGAACGGAAAATATCGAATAAAGAGAACTTTAAATTGGAAATTAAATATTGACAAAAAAAAAATTGGAAATTAAATAATAAGTTACGTATGGAAAAAAGAAATTAAGAATAAGGAGAGTGGGGACCAAGAATTAGGGGAGGGTTGGATGCCAACAGATCTAAATATTCATAATTTTCCTTTTAGATAAATATTTTATTTTTTTATTTTAAAGATTAATTTATCTTAATTATTTATTGTATATTATGCATTTAACTTTCTTTAAATATTATTTATATTAAATTTTAAATAAAAATTTAAAATAATTTTTAAACGTTGAATGATAAATGAAAATGATTTGAATATAATCTTATTTCAGAAAAAGTAGTGGCAGAGTCATTGACAAATCTTTTCGTCGTGTCTTTGTCCATGTGCTGCGCGTGCCTTGGAAAAATCTTTGAATTTTGCGATTCTATTTTTTGCTTTTTAAAATTTGTCTTATTAATCATCACGCTAATGATGACCTAATTGTAAAGGTCAAGAATTAAGTGGTCCAGCCATCATTCCGTTTTCTACAAATAGAACACGTAACCTATGTCGTTAAGTATTAAAGATGGAGTGTTTATTCAAAGATTAAGAATATATAATAAGGTTATGCTTCATTTGTGATTGATTTTGATACGTTATCTGTCACGTAAGTTTTAAAGTTTAAGTGCCCGTGAGAGCTTGAATAATTTAGTGTTATCTTTTCAAAAGACGTTCAATCATCTGAGATGTCGTCCAATAATTAGTTGTGTTTAAAACTTTTAGACCATCTCCAATCCTTAGTTAAAACTTGAAATTTAGGTTTTAAATTTCCCAAACTTACTCAATAGTTGGCTCTAAAATAAGTTTTGAGTTAAAACTGACTTTTGGGGCAAATACCAGCCAAGATTTGTCCTAATTTAAAGATCCTAGCCCACAGTGCGCATAGACGCGCCTAGAATAAAGGAGGTCGCACAAGCTTGATGCGCCCAACATGCGAGCACTGATAGGAAGTGAGGCCTACCCTAACAAGGTTGTTGTCCACCCAGAACGAGCCCAACGGAATTAAAACTTATTGATAATCTAAATTTTCTGGGTTAAAAATTTAGGTTTTAACTCCAAACATTAGAATTGGTCTTACAAGATGTAAAAAACCACGAAATATGGTGTTTGTATTTCTAGTGTTTGGAAACAACAAGAATGACAATTCTTTATTTGAACATCAACACAACATCATTTCTCGAAAGCATTAATACAAAAGTTTAATATTGATATGGTTTATTGTAAATGTAAAATTGTCGCATTCAAGCACTCGCAGTTTTGTGTTTGAATTTTTTGTTTTTAGATTTTCAATATTGCTTGTATAAAAAAGAAAAAGCTTGTATATATTTGGGGACAAGCACGTTTTACTAGTAGACAAGTCCTTGTTTTCACAATAACCAAGTGAGAGAAGGTTTCCAAATGTTTCCCTTTGTGATAACAAGAGGCTCGCTTTGTGCCTCTCTCAGTCTCTTGTATGCCACCAGCTCATCCTTAATCTGCATTGTTTATACGCAGGTACGCTTTTTCCCAATTCTTGGAAGTTGAAGCAGACAGTTCAACAAAAATTAAGCTGAAAGCAAGGTTTCGAAATTCTAATTCGAGTTTGAACTTGTACGGTACGTTGCAATCCTTAGGACCACCGGTTCTGATTTGGTGTACCGTTTGACTTGAAAGCCAAAAGTACAATGTCGCCTCATGTTATAGCAAGACTGCATGAGGAAAAAAATTAGTATATCATCAATGTACGGTGAGACACCTCCTAATTTGTTTTCACTTTTTGTTTTCACTTTGCATTTTGTGTACCATTCAACATCCACTTCCACATCTCTCCCACCATTTTACCTCGGCCCTTCTTCCTATTTTCTCCTCTTATCTCGAACGAAAAAGACAAAAACGAAATGATTATCAACGAGGCCCTTAATTTCCCAAATGTATATAAGATCAACTTTGTGTGGTATACTTTTCAGGACTAAATTTCTTGATCATTGCATGCTTTTATACATGAGACAATTTTTCCAAATCAAATCCACCCACAAAGTAAAAGAGATGTGATTTACACAAATTGCAAATTTAAGGACTGCAGTGTATGATCAAATCCTGCAGCAGACAGCAACAAATGGGCAACAGAAGGGTTCCTACAACAAGCTAAGACATATGTACATAGCGGAACTGTCGTTACCTTGGTTCCACAGGAAGGCCTTGTTCTTAACTTGTTGGTTGCTCCACTTTAAATCTAGAGGCCTGTCTGAGAATTTGAATCAAGCTATAAACATAGGGAAAGAGACTTTGCCGCCATCAACTGACCCGCTAATACAGCTAACTAAAGAGATTCGGTGCAATCTTCAATTTGAGCATGACCCAAATTATAAATGAATCTGCAGGCCACACATCCCTGGCAAGTTTCGAAACGAAGAGCTACCGTCGGTCTAGAGTCTACTGAGTTGGCAATCTCTGACTTCAAGCAGCAAATAAACTTTGATTTTACAAAAGAACGAGCTACAAACTACAAGGTTTGGTCAACTGCCAGTTCCTGAAATATCAGAGGAGAAACTTTAAGTTGCAAGCATAAGGGCTTTAAATACCACATAAGACAAACTCAGACAGATTTGATGACTCAATAATTAGCACCTAGGGTTCATCCAGTCAACAATTAACTAGGCTCACCCTTACAATTGTAACCGTTCCGTAATCATCATTCCACCAAAAATCAGGTGCACCAGTAATTTCTACTCTTCTTTTACCTTCTTCATTGGTGAAATGACTTCCTGTGCAAGCATTGTTGACAGATGAATACCAAAGGCACTATCTAGAAAAACGAACTCCTTTCCATGACAATCTGATGAAAAATATATACTAACTGCACGTATCACTTATTTTGAAAGGCAAACCTGATCACATATAGGACAGGCATCACTTCTTTCCATCCACTCAAGGATACACGAGAGGTGATAGTGGTGTTTGCATTTTGTGATAAACTTTGGATTCTCGGTTTCATACTCTGCGAGTGGAGAAAAAGATTAATCATTAGCTACCCGCAGTTAAAAATAGCAAAGTGAAGCAAAAAGGGATTTTCTCTTCTATTGATGGTAAAGTACCTTCGAGACAAATAGGACAAACATCCTCATCTTCTTTTTCTAAACCATGAGGTTCATTTGATTTTGAAAGTTCTAACTTCTTCGGTGGGATATCCAAAGAACTTTCTTGAACTTTGCAGTCTGATTCCCCAAGATCTCCACAAGTAGCGGAAGTGTCAAAACTACTGCAACTAATTGTTTCCCTGGCAGAATCAGAATCTGTTGATCCAAAGACCATATCATATGGCAAAGGTGGAGGAGGGGGTCTGTAAGTGTCAGGTATTGATGATTCCAAATCCCAACGAACCAGAAGTCCTGCACTGATTGCGGAGGCTGTGACATCATGAGATCTTAACAACTCTTGCTCTTCCAAAACCGGAGGACACTGAAGAAAAGAGTTTTTAAGAAAGGAAAGAAAGATAACTAAGAATGAAATGTTAATGCATATATAGTAAACCAATACAATAGGAAAAACAAGCAACTCTCCTAATAACATGTGATAAAATTATTTCCTCTATCAGCCCGAAACAGTCAGGTACTCAATGAAAAGCAAACTATAATAACAAAAGAGACTGTTAGAGTAAGAAGGGAAATACACAGACATAGATATATACAGGTGCTCCATGCAGTTGCACACGAGCTTTTCTGGAAGAACAGCAACAACCTCCCATTCTCTGCAGTTATTCTTGTTATGCACCCAACACAAGTGTAGATAGGGGCATTGCTTTCTGTTATTTAGCATCATAGGCGACTAAGTCAATTGCTATAGATTCAAAATAATTAAAATGTTACTATGAGTTAAGAAGATTACATACTACAACGTTAAAAGGATATTATGTTACTAAAACATAAAAGAAGCCACAACAAAGTGCTTAAAATATTTAATTAACCTTCGCAAAGAGGCAAGAATAAGAAATAAGAGTTTACAGGTAGTAAATATGGTCTCAAACAGGCAGAAACATGTAAACTGCAAAATTATCGACCAGCCAACAAAATAGTCGGTAAATTATGAAGAGACGATGTAATTAGCTTTTCAGACTCTGCAAAACTGATAGTTTCATGATCCCAAAAATTCTAAATGGGATTTTACGTTGTTAATTGCAATCAAATAAGAACTGCAACTATAAAAGAAAAGGGGTTATCACAAACACCCATCTGTTAAATTCTCAGCCATTCCACATTCACCGAAGTATGACATTTAACTTGAAGTGCTTAATGCTCATGCTTATGGGGGACTAAGGTGACATGTTTTTCTGTATGAAAACTATAGTTACTAGAGCAATCAATAACACAGGACAGACAAATATTGGCGTCAGTTTTCCGGAACTAAAAGCTCCCGCCCACAATGCCATCACTCCGAAAGCTAATCCTATGAATTAAAGCGGCTAAAACCACGATACATACGAAATATTTCTAAGCATGCAGTACTAGAAATTAGTGATGGCGTTGCACTTTGAATTCGAGTGATTAAAGCATGTTCCGTTTTTGTATGTTACATATGCAATCACTAGCAATCGAACCTAATCTTAAAGTATTTTTAGCATGAGAACAAAAGGACAACCTGTAGAATCCCCAATATGCTTCCTTTGCTAAAAGGAACAATAGAAGCACAAAGCCTGTGAGACCCTCTTCAATTCCAAACACTCATTCAACTCTCACAATGCTTTTCTACTAAGCAATTAAGACAAACAAAAGCCCCAATTGAAAAAAAAACTGAAAAATCACTCGAAACAAAACAGTAAACCCCCCCCCCCCCCAAAAAAAAAAAAAAAAAAACAGAAAATAGCAAACAAGAAACCCAATTGAATCAAAGGCTGCAAACCCACAAATCCAATCAAAACCCAGATGCAAATTTCACAAAATTAAGAAAACCCAAACAAGAAAATTAGTTCTTGCACGCAAAAACCCAGATAAATAATTAATCAAACTTTGCGAGCCTTAAACGAAAAGAGCAAAAGCTTTTACCTGTGGAAACTGGAAAGATAGCGTTTTGTGGAAAGAAATATCCAGTCGGTGAAAGAAGGAAATTAAAGAATCGCTTTTGGCCTTTGTGGGAAGTTGCTTTCTGCGTTTGCACAGTATGCGCTCCACTCTCATATGAGTCATATCCCTCTCTCTCGCCTCGCGTACGCTGATGCTGACGGTCTGGCTGTGTAGTGCACGTCTCTATTAACCACTTGTTACTCTTAAATTATAATTATTTAATTTAATTGATTGGTTAAGTTTGTGATTAACCACTTAGTTCATTTGTGGTTCATGCATTTATGGTTATGGAGTTGAAGGATGACGTGGTATGATAGATGGGAAGTAGGGTTGGCAACGGGGCGGACATGGTTCAAATATGTCATCTCATGAATCCGTTTATTTTTTTTAACTCGAAACCGTAGAATCTCTTAACGGAGATCCTCTATAACCAAACCTCGTTGGATAATGAATTTCTTATCGTTCATATCGGTTAACTGCGAGGATCTAATTAGACTGGTTAAATTGCCATCCCTAGTGGAAAGTGGGGTTTTCCAATGGGTTAAATCGGTTTTTGAGGAAAATGACAAATTTTAGAAAGCGTGACTCTGAAGGACTTACATAAACGAGTTATCGGCATAGTGACGTTTCGTTCTAATAACAAAATGTCATGTGTGTATAACTGGAATGTCATATAGTGATAAACTCGTTCCATGCAAATTACTCTCTGAAGCCTCAATCCATTACACTTTGTTTACTTTACTTTTCATGTGTGTGACAAATTTTTTTCTAAGCTTCTAGTACATTATGTTCGTATCTACGGTTAATTTGGTATGTTTTCTTAAATAGTTGTCGAATATTCGAACTTGAAGTATTTTTCAGAAAAAAAAAATGTCAGTATAATACAAAGATGAGTTAGTTCTTAATTCATTGTGTTTAACAAACCATAAAAATGATAAAATTATTTTTGTTGAATAAGATGATAATTTTAGACATGAGTGAGTAGATTTTAATCATTACTTAACACAAACTTGTATAAGTGTGGAGTCCTATAATTTCTGAATTTTATGCACATTTTTCCAGTCGTGCTCATTTGATTAAACTTTTAGACTTCTCCTTTTATTTAGTCTTGCTTAAAGGGGAACATTTTTATTTAGCTTAGGTTAAGCTAAGTTTGGGTTGAAATTATTTCACTACGAACCTTATACATTTTTTTTTTATTAACCCATTTGGACTAGGAAAATGAGGACAAATGGCTTTCTTGGAGTGGCAAAGTTTGCCACGTAGTTCACTCACCATGCCGACCTAAGGACACTAATATGATCATTAGCTTGTTTGGTGAAAAGTATGTAGCTTAGGTGTTATCACGGAGGGCTTTTAGAGTGCTTAGTAAGCACTTTAGGGTGATGACTCTTGAAACCTATGTTGATGACAAATCAAGCCTATAGCTAATGCGGAATGGTGGATTAGCAATTGAAGTTGAAACTTATAACCAATGAGAACAACTTTTGCCGCCTTATTTATGGTATAAATAGGAGCAATGCTCCATTTGTGTTTTTTTTTCCTCTTGCAAAATGCAATACGTACCTGCATAGAAAGTGAGTAAGAGAGTGTTAAAGGAGATAAGCAAAAGAAGTACTCATGGAATATTGATTACATTTGTTACTTGTATTACGTGAAATATTGTTATGTTAACTTTAGATATATTCAACTATTGACTTAGATGTGCTTTATTATGTGGTGTATTATATACTGGCAGGATCATTATCATTTGTCAACGAAGTAAGGGAGTTACTTATGTTGCGAGGAAATGTGGAAATTAGCTTTTGTGTAGTTGAGTCTGTTTATTGTGAAACCAGTTCCAGTCAAGGCCGATGTGCACAATAGAATAGGATATCGATGGGAATTGTTGATGTGGGTGATTTGGGCTGGAGATCAATGAATTAGATAAGATGACCAGCGAAACGGGTTATGAACTTGGGTTAGTTGATGGGGGTTATTCTATATATTAAAGCACTTGAGACCACAGTGGTAAAATGCATAGTATGGGACATGCAGGTCTGGGTGTTTCAATATATAGATTAACGGGTTGGGTAGAAAAGAAGTATTGTTCTTGCATTACATTACTCGTAAAACATTCATAACATTAATAATATTAATCACTTGAGACCTTGGGCCCCTACTAAGCTTTTAGCTCACCCCTTATTACATTATTCGTAAAACATTCATATCATTAATAATATTAATCACTTAAGACCTTGGGCCCCTACTAAGCTTTTAGCTCACCCCTTATTAGTTGTGTTACAGGAGATGAAACAAAATCTAGTGGCTGACTGGAAGAAAGAGACTCCTTATAACTTTTTAAGGAGTTGTTGTCATTTTCTTTTATGTGTAAAAGGGCGTGATAAATTGGTATTAGAGCATTAGGTTTGCAATCCGTCGATTTAGAATTGCCAGTTTAAGTATTCTTACGATTAAGAAGGAAGTTTTGTTTTTGTTACAAATTTGACAATCTATTATACAATTATTGTATTCTAGATGTCTTATTCCTTTATGGCCTTGACAGATACAATGGAGTCAAATATAAGTGATGGATCGTGTGGAGAATTCCATCTCTCCTATTATGGATGTATTCCAACCAATCATGATCAATATAAAAGCCTTATTCGAAGTTCCCCCAGAGATCTGGTTAAGGAGATAATTAAACAGACCGCAATTAAAAGGCGCAATTACACCTTTCGAGCCCAAAAGCATACCATTGGTGGGAGTCAATTTTAAGTATTCCAGATACACAAGTTACAACTTAGGAAGAATTTGAGACTATCTACTTAGAAAAGCATTTCCTAAGTACTTTGAGGAGTATGAAAGCAAGATAGTTTGTTAATCTCGTACAAGGAGACTTAACTATCATTGAATATGAGGCTAAATTTGAAGAGCTTATGCGTTTTGCTCCTCATATGATTCCCGACGATACCGCAAAAGTGAGGAAATTTGAAGAAGGGTTAAGACAACCAATCTTGGAAAAGGTGGAAATTCTCAAGTTAAACAAGTATGCTGATGTAAAGGAAAAATCGTACATAGCGGAACGGTTTGAAAATAAGAGAATTTCGAATACTAAGGACTTTAGTAGTCAACATACCAATAAGTGGGTAAGATTTAATCCTCTTCCTATCAACCACTGGAATGCCAAGAATCGCAAAAATGTTATCACTGTCAGCAAATTGGACATATTAAGAAAAGTTGTTCACGACAACAAAGGAATCAAGGATCTCAAGTGCAATATCATGCTCCCAAGCACAATTTTATACTCCAAAACACAGTTTCGTGCACCACCGCCTCAGAACTATGTCCCTTATCAAACTCAAGGAAATTGGCCAAGACCACAAGTTATTCAACCGTCACAACATCTAGAAGGACAATTTTCACAAGCCAGACCAAGAGCTCCTCCAAATAAGAAATATGGTCAACTCACACATGGACGAGTTTATACTATAGGAAATGTGACAAGCAAGCAAAGCATGAACTAGTGGAAGGTACGTTTCTAGTTTTCAACTCTTCGGCTATAGTATTATTTGATGGTGGCACTACACACTTGTTTATATCGAAATGTTTTGCATCTACTCTTGGGTTAGAAACTCAAAACATGGAATTTTCTTTGTTAGTTGGATCTCATTTGTGTGGTAGCAAAGAGGTTGCTAAAGTGTGTAAATCTTGCGAGATAGAAATGTCAAACCATAGAATTCCTTTTGATTTGTAGATATTAGACATGTTGGAGTATGATATTATCTTAGGAGTGGATTGGCTTAAAAAATATGAAGTTATAATTGATTACAGTACGAAGAAAATTACAATAAATCCTCCTGAGGGAAAACTTTCAGTTTCTATGGGGATAAGCAGCCTCACAAAGTGCATAAAAGAAAACTTGATTATTTGGGCTTGTTAGCTAGCATTATAACCGAAGCAGTTAGTAGGTCACAGGAAGAATTAATTCCTATAATAAAGGAATTCATTGATGTGTTCCCCGAAGAGTTATCTAGATTGCCACCAAAGCGTGAAGTGGAGTTTGTTATAGAATTATACCCAGATTCAAACCCTATTTCTATACCTCCTCATTGAATGGCACCAGGAGAACTGAAAGAACTCAAAAAGCAACTTCAAGAGTTTCAAGAGAAAGGATTTATTCGGCCCAGTGTTTCACGTTAGGGTTCTCCTGCATTATTTGTGAGGAAAAGTGATACAACCCTTACATTGTGCATCGATTATCGGTTGTTAAATAGAATTAGTATAAAGAATAAGTACCCTCTACCTAGGATTGATGATTTATTTGATTAGTTGAAAGGTGCACAATATTTTTCAAAGATCGATCTCCGATCAGGTTATCATCAACTTCGAGTCAAAACACCAGATATTCCTAAAACAGCCTTCAGGACTCATTATAGGCATTATGAATTTCTTGTTATGCCTTTTGGATTGAAAAATGCACCAGCAACATTTATGGATATGATGAATCGAATCTTTCAACATTGCTTGGATCAATTTGTGATCGTATTCATTGACGACATTTTGGTCTATTCTAGATCAAGGAAGAGCATGAGGATCATTTGCAAACCGTTCTACAAACTTTAAGAGAAAATAAATTGTATGCCAAGTTAAGTAAATGTGAATTTTGGATGACAGAAGTAAAGTTTTTAGAACATATAATTTCCAGTGAGGGGATTGCAGTTGATTCTTCTAAAATGGAAGCAGTATTGAATTGGAACCTACCAAATAATGTATCAGAAATATTGAGTTTTCTTGAATTGGCTGGATATTACAGAAGATTTATAAAGGATTTTTCTCGAATAGCTGCACCAATGATCAAGTTGACAAAAAAGGAAGTGAAGTTTATATGGAATGAGGACTGTGAAGAGTCGTTTCAAGCATTAAAGACCCGCTTGACGACAGTGCCAGTATTAATTATTCTGAAAGAGGCATAAATTATGTAGTTTATACTGATGCATCTTTACGAGGACTAGTATGTGTGTTTGATGCAATCTGATAGAGTAGTAGCTTTGAATGTACATAACGTGTTTCATGTCTCAATGCTTCAGAAATATTAGCCAGATCCAAATCATGTTCTAAATTGGGGAGAACTCAGCGTCGATGAGAAATTATCATTCAA